GGACACGCGTGTGCGTGCGGGGTCGCGGGCTCGGCGCCACGGCTGTGCCCAGGGGTGCCGGGGCGGGGCCTGTCACCGGTCTTGGCTCTTCTCCTTGGCCAACGCAAGTCAACCGCCATGTTACAATCCCCGGGACCGAGCGCCAGCTCCTCGGCGCTTCGACCTCACGGCGGTTCCCACCGCTGGTGGCGACCTGGTGACGCTGCGGAGCTCAAGGCGCTCGAGAGCGACTCGGGAAGACCACGGCCGGAGGAGGACGCGGCCTCAGGCCCTGCTCTGGGTGTTAGACTAGGCCTAAGCCCGTCAGAAGACTCGTTGGTCTTCTGAGGGTAGGTCACCCTTTGAACCGCAAACTAAGCGAAGGAAAAAAAACCCAAAAAACCCAGCTCTGATGCTTCAGCCCCGGGGCTTTTCCGGGCAGGAGGCGTTGGCTGGGATCTCCCCGAGGAACCAGAGGTACGGAACGCAACGGGGGCAGACGCAGATCAGGCAGAAGAAGGACCAGAACGGCCCTGCAACCCTGACGGACTCAGTTCTGTGCTCCCTTTCTTGGAGCGTGCCAAACCGAGCTCATCAGCTGGGGAAAGATTTACTCACAAAAAAAGGTTTTGGTTTTTTTTTTTTTACAGAAAAGTACCGCATCAGTGGCAACCCTCCTCCGCTAGCCCTGCTTTTCTAGCAAGAAGCCCTCTGGGATGGGGAAGGTCCTGCAGAGAGCAGAGCCTGGGGACAGGACCAGCCTCCCCTGGAGAAGAGACTCAGATTCCTCACTTGTTCCTGTGTCATTATTTGGGAGGGGGGGTGTCTGAAAAATCCCCCCCAAAAATCTCAAAAATTGTGACTGGATTTGGGCAGCATTTCTCCCCATGCCTTGACAATTCTGTTTCGTATCCAACCCAGGGATGTTCAGGCTCCGTTCCAGCTGTCATCTCACAGACCCAGACCCCTTCAGCTGCTCCCAGCTCTCCGCAGGCCCTTGCACTGGCCCCTGTTTTTTACGTACTCGGTGTGGAGCTGGTTTTCCTCCTCCTTGTGCGACAGATCCCTCACGTCACCTGCTCTGGGTCCTTGAGCATCTCAGTACAGTTTTAAACAAAAGAACTCTCAAGATGTCACCTTAACAGTAGCGAGGGAACAATTCCTCTGCTGGAGATGGTATTAATGACTTTATAGCTAAACCAGCTAAAAAGACATCTTCCCCCCGCCCGACTCCCTGCCTCGGCCGTCTCATTTGAGGAAAACAGATCAAATGGAGAACTTGCTAATGCGGGCACGCACCTTTCTTTGATCTTACTAATGAAAAACTAGACAGTGTTAGAATATGTATTAACTAGTCCAGTATTAAACATGCTTTTGCACTGGATGTGAACTAGAGAAGTGCTATCACTGCTGTCAGCGGCGTCGTTAGCTGTGGTGACCCAATTAACGCGGTATGAAACACGACAGCCCCGCCGAACTGAATATTTAACTCGGGGGGGGGTGTGCGGTTATTTTACACGGGCTGTAATTTCCCCGAGGAGCCGCTGTGTTTCCCGCAGACGTCTCAGGAGTAGCTGCGGGATGTTTCAGGGACCCGTTTAAGCTGGACACGGTGCTGGGCCATCTCTTGCTTATGACAGGTTGGCCCAGATGATCCTTGAGGTCCCTTCCAACCTGGTGTTCTAGGATACAAATCTATCCATCGATTCGCTGATTTGATTTAAAATAACGGCGAGGGGGGAAGAAAAAAAAAGCAGATCTGATACTACAGATTGCTGATAATGGCCCGGTTAGCAGGCTACAAGGTGGCGGTTACACAGCTGAAGGGATTTATCCCTCTCCCTTCAGGAACTACACACCCTGGGGCAGTTTGCCTGGGCAGGAACACCCAGTTTTAACCAGTTAACCTCTCTATGGAGTGGAAATCCTCCAGCGGTGACCAGAGCACAGACGACAGGAGCCCTTGAGCCAGCAGCAGCACGTTAGTACCAGGAGTTGCAGAACAGCTGTGACCAACCAGGGTTTGAGAGGCAAAGGTTAAAAAAATAAAAGCATGCTAAAGGTCTCCGAGCACTTCAGCAGCCGGTGTTAATCGGGAAGCGGCACAGAGGAGAAGCTGAATTAAGAGAGTTCACACGAAGGCAGAGCGAGGTTGGAGGAACTGCCCGCAGAGCTGCAGCCGTGCCCGGCTGGGGCTGGGGTACGGGGCTCAGTGCGGCGGGGGGGTCACAAAAAGCCCTCCCTGGACACTCGAGGTGAAGTATTAACGGGCCGTTACGGGACCTCCGTCCGGATTCTTAAATCCGTTAAAAAACGGACCTTGATGAACCTCACCCAGTGTCTGAGAGGCGAGCGGGGAGGTCTGCACAGCACCCCGGGGTGCAGGATGTGGCTCAGGGAGGGGAGCTCACCTCGGGCTCAGCCACGGGGACCTGAGCACGGGGTGCCAGCAAGGTCAGCGGACAAGCACTGCCGGGACCCTGCTGGGCTTCACCTTTGGTAGACTACGTGATTTTAGTCACTTCAAGCTGCAGTAATATTAAGCAATACTTCCAGCTTTTGCTACGGTTCTCAACACATAAAAATGTGCTACGAATCCAGTCTGGAGCCTCTCTGGGCTTCGGTGCCCAGGTCCAGAAGCCCCCCCAGGAGCTCTTTCTGCCTGGCTGCATTTCCAGACCCCCTGAGCCAGGTTGCACTTGGTCCATGCACTAAACTCCACTATGTCCTGGCTGTGTCCGTTCCCTCGAAGCCCAAGGCACAGGGCGCTTGCGAACTGTCTCGCTGCTTGAGGCTGTCCCACCCCACCCATGGTGGGTACGGCAAAATTTCAGCATCAAGAAGAGCTGGATCTTGAAATACATGGTTAGCCCCGGTATAAATAGGAAAAAGAAACCCATTAACTACTCACTGCTGGCCCTAGGGTGCTCTTTAGGTGCTAGGAAATCTCTGACAGGGGGAAAAAAGCCCCACATCAGGGTCACAGAGGTCTCCACCCTGGAAATAAGATTTTAACACCAGGGAAGTCCACCAGCCGTGGAACACATACAGCATTACACCACCACTGCCCCGGGCGGGGGTAAGAAACCCAAGGTGCAGCCTGACCTTTGCAGCTCAGACAACAACTGCTGATGCCCAGAGGAAAAAAAAAACCCAACCCATCCCCGCCTGGCCGGAGCAGCCCCGCTGGCAGGAGGACGCATGGAGCCGAACCCGCTCGCCCAGGAGCACCCCAGCAGCGAGGAGATGCCGATACACACCTGCACGGGCCGCACCAGTCCGTTTGTTGGTTGAGGCCAAAGCGAGCTCTGCATTTCTTAGGAGAGGCAGGATCTGAACACAGAAGCATGCGTGGCGGAGAATGGGCAAGGCAGAGGCAAAAAGAGGAGGAGGAGCAGGAGGAAGAAAAGAGGCAACATCATTTTAGCCACTTTAACACACGACTAACAGACTACAATCCAATTTTTTTCTTTTTTTTTTCCCCAGCATCACCTCTCCTGGAAAAAAGTGATCGTTAGGCAAATATCAGTGATCACTGCTGGCAGCTGGAGAAGAAGGAGGGTTGGGAAATGGCCTCAGCTCTGGGAAATAAGGGCAAAAATTCATGGCTCTTTGAATTCCTTAAGTTTGGAAAAGCTGCCAAATCCCAGAGGCGCTGCCTGCCTCCTGTGTCTGCATCCTTACCTGCTCCCTGCCCTTCCAGCAGCGACTAAACGGGGCTGCCAGCGAGCTCGGTCTGCGCACGGAAAAGAAGAGGAGGAAATGTTGCAGAAGCAGGCTGAAAGCAGAGTTAGCACCAAGGAGGCCCAGGTCCAGGTTATTCTACTCTGCCCCCCCACCATTCCCTTGCCAGGTTTTACAGAAAAGCTATTCTCTGTGGCCTTTCCTAAAATGTCGCAGTTTTGCTGTATAATTACGGATGAAGCTCTATTTGCTTTCAGGCACATCGTGTTTTTTCTCTAGTGCTGGAAATGGGGTTTGAACAGCACATTTCTGTGCTGGAATCACGCTCCCTCTTTCAGCCACCACCAGCGTCTCCTGTTTTGTACAACCAGCAGTTGGTTTTCAATCCATAACAGGGGAAATCATCATTTTTGTATCATACAGACAAGACATATATATGGATATATAAATATATATATACACACACTACATATAAGCCTAAAAGCTTGCACTTATCAGTCTAGACACTGCATGAGATCAACAGGGTTAACTAAACTGGAGATATTACCGGGACACAGTCACGGAATTGCTTTTTATGGACAATTCAAAGAGGTCATCCAACAGTGAGTCATTAAATTAATGAGATAATCTGAACTTACTGAATTAATGCAGGCTGCAGGATTTTGGTCGCATGGATGTGCAATCCACAGCAACGACCCCAGAGCTGGTTCTCCCCTGTCCTAACCAACAACTGAACTGCCCAGATGCAGCCAGTTGTGCACCTTGGGGTCCCCAAATCAGGTGTGACAGGTCTTTGTGTGGGTGTGCAAGGCCAGGAAAGCAACAGGCTGACCTGGCACCCTCCCAAGGGACCATTTCTAGAGGGAGAGAGAATTAGTGTTTTGCTTAGAAAGCCAATAGCCTATCATCTGGCTGACTTAATTTCATCCAAAAGTAAGTAAGAGCAACAGGCAGTAACAAAATGTTAGGCTGGAGAATGGGAAAAGCTCTTTGTAAATCTACAGGCAATCACAAAATGAACACACTGGAAAAAAACAGGCTAACTTCATGTATATGTGATGCCACAGTGGGCAAGGACAGTCTCTCGATGTTTTATAATGAATATTTAGTGGTTCGGGTACTCTTTATTCCTGATATGACAGAAATACTTCAGAAAACAGCACAGGAAGAGCCTTGGCTGATGGGAACGTCTGTGTCATCAGCTGAAATCTGTCAAAAGGGCCTTTTCTAATAAACAGTGTGGCGCGGGGAGGCAGCTGGTACTGGGTTTTTAGTATGACTTTGCTTGAACTCTAGGTTACTTGGAAACGAAAACCAGGTTTGGGGTAGTCCCATGGGTGGTCTTCAATCCTGACACTGCATTTAGTCCCACATGCAATACTGATGCATTTGAGAGGAGTTTTCTTTAATTCATGGTATCTGTAGGGCTAACGGGGACGTTCACTCTGGATGTTTTGAATACGTTAAGTTTAGTGATAGTTTTTAGGAAGTTACGCACTTGCCAAAAATCTATAATCTTTTCAGTTTTCACACACTACCCATGAAAACTCAAACATGTCTGTGAAAAAGTCACAGAAATGTTAATTTACTGTCTCTTAAAAAAAAACAAAACCCACAACATATGTATTTCTTTAGTTAAGCTCAGGAGCATAAAAGAAAACATGGTAAAACATGACAACTCCTTTGGATTATCCCCTCTGAGCAGAAACGGAGAGCCACCGAGCCACACGCATTTACCTGAGTTGGAATCTTGCTGCTTTTCCCGTGTTCGTCTCTTCTTTTTCCCCTGGGAAACCAAAGGAACGGCCGTTAGCCTGTGCTCTGTGCAGGGCTTTTGGGGCTGGACTGGGGAAGGGAGTCACCAGCTGTAACATCCACGGTGCCACCGGCTCTGCCCCGTTCCGGGCAGAGACGCACTGGAAATCACTGCAAGGGCACCTGGCCCTGCTCACTTCTATCTGTGTGGGTGCCCCTCTCCTTTCCCCAACTGCCCAGGTCAATGCTGCTGAGAAAAAAACCGGGAGGAACTCTCAGAGCAACCACCCAAATTTGTGTTTGCACACAGGCCGGTGGCTGCCTTTTACACGGCACAAATTTGCTCTGGGCATGCACCTTTTCTCAGGAATAACCCCTCATTCCCAGGATCCCCGGATCCAGCACCGTAGGCATTTTGACTCATCCCAAAACCACTCTGCACGAGATCTGCACGTACGTAGAAACAGCAACAGACACTCAGAGGAGACGGCGGCCACAGCCCTGCCACCACCTCCTGCCTCTGCTGCCTCTTCTTCCCAACATGCTGCTCCCCTGCTCTGTTTTAGGGGCCCACGACCCCGCTACAAATGCAGCTGAGACCCCAATTTACACTGCAGGCTGCATAAGAAGACGCCAGAAAAACTGTTACTGGATGCAAAAAGCTGTAATAAACCCACGGCCTGTGCTGCTCAGCGCCTCTGCCAACTCCTGCCAGTACTCCTCAGCCCACCCTGATGTGTCTCACCTGGGAATCCCACCTCTTACTGCTTTAATTAATTAAGAGATCATTCAATTAGGAGATTTACCCAGATTAACAGAACTAAGCAAGTTTTACTGCATGCAGCGGAGGCAGTACGATCAACAGCCGATCCTCCTGGTGTATTCATATTCCTCCTGCCTCTTTATGTTTTTAAAAAGCACGTGGCCCATTTTAGCACGTTCCCTGTTTTCAGTACGCGCTTTGATGTGGTGCCTTACACCTGAACAGAAATTGCCCCACAACGTCTTACCGGTAGGAGCATCCCTGATTTCAAACGGGAAAGAAAAATTTTAGGAAATCCCCAGAAATTTATTTTTAACTACTGCTTATCTATTTCAGGGCTTTTGCAGCTCTGGATCCATCTCTCATTCTCTGTTTTCTTCCCTCGCTAACAAGAAACCCCAATTTTATCCCCAAACTGCCTCTCTGATTCACAATCTGCAACAGCTCCCCACATCTACTGAGTTTATTAATGAGGGCACAGCGGCACAGGAGCAAATCTGCCCTGCGTGGAGCAGGCAGCTCGCAGGGCTGCCTTTGACCTGTCACTTTTTATATGACTTCTTGTGGTTTGAGTGAAGGTGGAAAGCTCCGAGCTGCGGTGAGCTTTTGCTTCGGTGTGGGAGCAACTGTATTTCCTGCCTGATATCTGCACCACGTGCTGCACAAGTGACCTACATTCCTCCTCCTCATCCTTGATCAATCTCTGGAGAGAAAAGCATCTCCTGCAACGACCACAAGAGCTTGAAGCAGCTGCTTGCCAGTGCTGGGAGAGCCAACGTCCACCTTTGGAGCCCACCATCCTCTCTGTCTTCTGGAGCAAGGAACCAGCCCTTGCCAAGATGAAGGATGCTACAGGCTGGAGATTTTCATGGAGGATCTGCTTGGTCTTGGAGGAAGGTGGTGCCTTGGTTCTCAGCGATGCTGCTGCCCTCCAGACCGACAAAGATGCTGCCCCGCTTTCTCTAAGGGCGGCCCTGGAGGGCGGCAGCATCCAGCACTGATCCTGCAAAGCTGCACGTGGATGCTGAGCTCCTGGTCTGTGCTTGCAAGGAGGCAGAGAGATCTGTCTGCGGGGACGCACGGGCTGGGGGCTTCCTGTAACCTCTGCTTCTTCTCCGCACCATCTCTGCCCTCTGGGGTTGTTTTTTGGTTGGTTTGTTTGGTTTGGGTTTTTTTGTTTTTTTGTTTTTTGTGTTTTGGGTCTGTTTAAGGGTGTTTTCTCGCCCTCGGTGGAGTTTGGGCTTTCTGGAAGGAGGGCTCTGGTCAGGGTGGGCTGGATGGGCGCTCGCTGTGCGGCTCCCAGGGGAAAACAAGCGGGCGTGAGGGAAATGACTGAGCCTCAGATCAAAGGGCAGGGCTCTCGAGTGGATGGACGGACATCTGAAGACTTGCGTGTGCTTTGCTTCAGGTCTCTAATGAGCTCGTTAGGCATGTAAGATCAAAACAGTCGAGAAAGCCACTAGAAAAGACCCAGAGTGTATCCTGTGCTTCTGGGGCACCACTACACCTATGCAACCTTGTTTAACACTGTGCTGCTGAAGTGATTAATATAGCTAAGAGGAAATGATTTTTTTTTTTAAAGACTAACCTTTAAATGTGCCAGAGAGTAGCCCAGAGGCTTCCCAAGTGCTGGCCCTACCACCACGAGCTGCGGAGCAGCTTTGTCCCTCTGGCCAGCCCAGGAGCTGCTGCCACTTCTCCCAGGAGAGCAAGGGGGGGGCCCTGGGAGCCCCGGTCCACCACAGCCCCCTCCAAAAAGAGCCATTATTTTTGATGTGGAGCTCTCTATAGAAACCAAACACAGTTTTTTCCTCTGCTCACACCTTGGGGATCGGTTTGGCATCGAGTGTTGCGGCAGCGTTACCTCGTTACAGCCAAAATGGGGAAAAGGCTGGAGCTTCCCTTCTCTCTCTTGTACGCAGGGAAAGCTCTTCTGGCTATGGGAAGGCAGGATCCCAACCCTCAGCATGATTCAGGGCCCTCTGCACTGGTTCATTTTTACTGCTGACAACCACTGCGATTCGCTGCTCCACTCAGCAGCCACTGCCTGGTTTGGGGGATTTTTTTTATTTTTTTTTTCTTTTTTCAAACTGGAAAAGGTTTTATTTCCCCTAACGGCAACATTGTTGTGCATCAGGCTCACCAAAGGGCTGGGTTGAGCTCCCGAGCTCACAGAAGGAGCAGTGCTGTTTGTGTTTGTGTTTGTACTTTGAATGTGGTGTGCTTGATTGGGTCAGGGTCCTCAAACAGGGATGGGTCAGGGTGGGATCAGCTTCCCGGAGGGACAAACAGAAACTCGGCGACCGTCATCCTGCGAGCGCTGCTTATGTGCCCTGCAGTACACGGGGCGGCTGCTTGGGATGCAAACCCCCCGAGAGTCCGAAATCGGACCCGAACAGCCTGCGAGACTGAGGTTTGCACTACGATTCATTCAAAGCAGCTTACACTTTCTATTTTGCCTTTTTAAAAATTATTTCCCACTATTATTACACTCCTGTGAACACGGCTCAGGCTGTGCTACTTTTAAGCCCTCAGAACGCAGCCAGCAGCCTGCAATTTGGCAAATCCTCCTCCTCCACCTGCAGTGTGTGCCTGGGCTCAGCATCACGTGCCCAGGGCTGTGGAGCCCAAACTACCCAGCCCCATGATTTAAAGCTGATAATGGAGGTGCTACCACAATGTCAACAGAGCTGAGCAGGCTGCAGGTGCCCGTTCACCCTCCTCTGGCCATCCCACCCCGAGTTTCCTCTCCTGCATCTGTCCCCCATGCTCTGCTCCCCCTGGGCTGATGTCTCAGCTGCTGCCTGAGATGCACAAAGCAGTGCGTTTCCATAAAATTGTATTTCCAAAGATCATCCACATCATTTAAAAGTTCCTCGTCTTTTCTACCTGTATCTACTTGGACAATAAGCAAACAAACGGTCGTGGCAGCTGCAGAGCTAAAACTTTTTTGGGCTATAGGGAAGCTATGAGCCAAGAGGATGTTCAAAATATTCCTGAAATGTGAATTTCTACAGCCGTTGTGCCATGAGGAAAGGTGTTACCAGGTGGGATGTTTGGCAAACACCAGCTGTCAGCCCCCACCCCGGGTCATTTCTGGCCATGCCCTGGGGAGGGGTCCGAGCCGCAGCAGCCACTCACGTAGTTGTCTCTGGCAGACCAGCCGGGGTAGAGCTGCATGTGGAGCTGCCGTTCCTTGCGTGCCAGCTCGTAGTACTTGGCCTGCTCCTCCCGGGACAGCGCGTGCCACTGCAAGGACAAGCATGGGGTGAGACGGGGCCCCGCTGTCCCCTCCCAGTCCCCCCCAACCCACTGCGGCCGCCCTGCACCCGGGCACATCCAACTCTGCATGTCTGAGGGATAGGAGCACCCGGGTGTCCTGGTTTTGGCTGGGATAGAGTTAATTTTCTTCCTAGTAGCTGGTCCAGGGCTGTGTTTTGGATTTATCATGAGAATAATGCTGATAACACACTGATGTTTTACTTGTTGCTAAGTAGCGCTTATCCTAAGTTAAGGATTGTTCAGTTTCCCATGCTCTGCCAGCAAGCAGGTGCACGAGAAGCTGGGAGGGAGCATGGCCGGGAGAGCTGACCTCAGCTAGCCAAAGGGCTACCCCATACCACAGGATCTCCTGCCCAGTATGTGAACTGGGGGGGAAAATCACTACTCGGGCATCAGTCAGCGGGTGGTGAGCAACTGCACTGTGCATCACTTGCCTTTTCTTAGGTTTTATTTATCTTTTTTAATATATTCCTCATTATTATTATTGTATTTTATTATTATGATATTATATTTTATTTATGAAACCATTCTCATCTCAATCCCCCCAGTTTTACTTTTTTTTCCCGATTCTCCTCCCCATCCCTCTGGAAGCGGGGAGGAGCGAGCGGCTGCGTGGTGCTTAGTTGCTGGCTGGGGTTAAACCTCGACACGGGGTTTGAAAGCAGATGCTTGGTACGCGCTTAAGAGCAGCTGCAAGGGACGGGGATGCTGCCCTGGGATGACAGTGCTGAGCCCCGCGTGCTCTTACCCTCCTTCCCAAGATCTGGTTGATGGCGGCGCTCTCCTTCAGGGTGCATTCGGCAATGACTTTCGCCCGCATTTCTTTCATATACAACATGAAAGCGTTCAGGGGCTTCTTGATAGTGGGCTTCTTGGCTTCCTTCTCTCTCTTTGGTTCTGGCTGAGGTTTCCTTGGTGGGAATGAAAGAGGTTATCAGAGCCGCCCTCCTTCCTGGCTGCCCGGTGGCCCCAAGCTCGGCAGAAAACTCGGCACCAAACCCACGTGATGGCACGAGGGTGGGGGGCTGAGATCTGCGCCTCGGATGCACGCCGCTGCCTGATGCAGGCAGAGCTCGGTGTTCATCCATCCCCCCCACACCATGCAAGCATTAATAGTGATAAATGAAAACGGGTGTTAAGCCTGTTAAGACCTGCTGGCAAGTCCAACTTACATGTTTCGGTCATAGTGCTCCATCTCTTGCTTGCCGGAGTGGGGCACGATGGCGGGGTGTGGGATGCCGGTGGTGTGCATGCCAGAGCCCAGCATCAGCGGGTGAGTGAACCTGCAACAGAGAGCGGGTGAGCCGCGCCGGGAGGGCTGTGCTGGGATGTTGGGGGTGCCGGGGGGCAGCCGGAGCGGCGCGTCTCACGAGCTGGCGCTCTGACGTGGCACAAGCAGACGGTAAGCGGAGGACACGGAAAGCAAACCCGCGGGTGCTGCCAGGCTGGCCCACGGCTCCTGGGTCGCCTCTGCTGTGCCAGTGGTGGGCACGGCTGGCCGAGCCACGGGCTCGTGGGTGGAGAGGGTCCGGGTGCCGCTGGGAGGAAACCAGCCTGCAGCAGGAACCAGCCTGGCCGAGATCAAGGGCGCTTTCAACCAGTGGTTTCAGCTACTCAGATCTCTGTTGGTGCAATATCTTATTAGCACTGCAGAAAGGAACAACAAACTCAACCCAGGGGTTGGATGGGAGAGATTAGGACCACCCTGCACCTTTCTTTTAACAGAAATAGCATAAGTCTGAACATGAACCAAACTGCAACTCTAGGAGGTGCACCTTGCCTAAGCAATGTTCTCCACCAACATGGGACTGAGATCACGAGAGGTCTCGCTCGCTTTCAGGCTTCATTAGCTCTCTTGAGAGTTTTAGAGGGTAAAGCCAGCACAGTCAGCTTTGCCAAGCTTGCCACTTTATGACTGCAGCTTGAGATGGCAGAATTGCCCATGGGAGATGAACTGTTCATTAGATATGCTGGCACAAAAAGAAAAGCTGTTTAATTTAATCCACCAGCACAGTCTGATCCTTATCTGACCAGGTGTACTTTCTCGGCTGCAGCAGTACTGCAAAATCCACCCCAAAATCCTGCAAGCGGGAGCTCCTGCACTGGGCTCGGGGAGGCTGCTGGGCCTCCCTCCGCGGGGAACCGTTAGCTCCCCTCTCTTCTTTACCCTCAAGCTGGGCAAAGCGATGCTTTGGCGGGCGAGGAGGGCTGGCAGCGCTCCTTCGCCTCTGCTGCAGCGCTAAGCGTTTGCCCGGATCCAGGGTTGCGTGGATTGAGGGTTGGTTTTGGGTTTTTGTTTGGTTTTTTTTTTTTTTTGCTTGGCTTGCACAGGTCAGGGTTCGCATGGTTTTCCTGGGGGAAACCTCCACTAATGGCTCTTCAGGACAACACGAAGCGGAAGCGAAAGCTGGTGCGTGAGCACACGCGGCGTGCACAGACGAGGATCCTTGCCGGAGCCACGGGGGCTTTGCCCACCAGGGCTGGGCTCTGCAATTTCCATCCCCAGGGAATGCATTTGCTCACCGGGACATCACTGGGGTCTGGGTATATTTACAGAGGGTAAAATTTGGTCCTGGGTGACCATCAACTTGCAGTGTGAATGCGCCGGGGCTGTGCTATGTGGCTCAACCCGCTCAGTATTTAGGGCGGGTGGTGCCGCAGGGCCAGGTCGAAGCAGGGCCGTGACGTGGCCGGCTCCTGCCGACCCCTTCCCGTGTGCAGGGTCTGGCCCGTGGCCGTGCCAGCCCTGTGCTGCCCGATGATGGGATGGGCGAGGCAGAAGCTACGCTTACACCTCAGAGACCTGGCTTGTGCCGATGGGACGACGGCAAATCGCTGCCTGTCCTGCTTTTAAGGCTGAGACCAAGCAAACCAGATCGGTCTCAGCAGAGCAAAAGTCAGCGTCAGGGATACATTCAGGATGAGGGTTCGTGATAAGGACCAAAATCCTGAGCAACAGATTTCACCCTGTTTTCCCAATGCTGAGCCGAAGGCAGGGGTTTCTGGCTTTGTTTTGACTTCTGCTGATTAAAACCCAATCGTTGTGCATCCTCCTGGGATGCTCCGTAGTCCCCTGGGCACCCTTGGGACCAGACACTGCCTAAAAGCGCCTTCTCTTCCCACGGCTGCCCCGGGGACAGTGTGTGGCCGTCCCTGGGTGGCCGCGGTCTGCTGCAAGCTCCTACCACACAAACTGCAAGCTGCGAGACCAGTCGAGCTGCTGCCCTGTCTCACACAGCTCATACTCACCTGGAGAAAGAAGCCCCAGCAGAAAGCGCTGACGAATACGGCTGTCTAAATCCACATGACGGGAGCGGATAGACAGACTGGCTCTGCCTGGGATCGGGAAGAAAGAGTCTATCAAGTATCTACAGCTATGTGGTATTTCCTAAAGATTCCCTTTGCTAAGGGGACTCAGAGCACCGATGCCTCTGGTGGGCTGCTGGGGGTGTCCCCAGGGTTTGAGGGGGCACTGAGCGACTTGGACTTTATTTTGGGAGAAGCTGGGCCTCCCTGCAAAGGTTGGCTCCAACTCTGACCCCCCCTCTCTGGCGTTAACACCGCAGCTTGGAGTTTGTCCTGTTAAAACGCAAAATGCGGAGGAGGTGTGCTGAAAAATTAGATGTTGCTATTGCACAGAATTTGCTTAAAAGAGCATGGTTTGAGTAGAAAACTGAAGCCTGGTCAGAGCCTCTCTCTGTGTAGTCACAGTCGTGGGCTGCACTGGGAGGATGCCCAAGCACGGGAACCTCCTGGTGTCCAGAGAGAAATCTTGCTCTGCCCTTGTACGTGCTTCAGAAATGCTCTGATATCCCCAGTGCATCATTTCAAGGACGCCCGTGATTTTTAAACAAGCCAAAAGCTCGGTCCTACATTTTGTTGGAAAGTTGTTTCACACTGGGGTCTGTACCAGACCTGGAGCTGGAAATTATTTTTGAGATAGTAAAATAACTATGCAGGAAGTTCCTTGTTGTTCCAGCAAGGGAAACCCCCCCACACACACCCTGTTTTCATACAGAGATTGCTCAAAAATACCTTGGTTTGACCTGCAAACCCGCCAAAAGATGATCCCAGCCTAAAACTGCGTGGAAATCGAGATGCCTGAGGAGAGCACGATGGGCTGCTTAAACCCATGCTCGTGCTCGTGCTCCTCTGCCCAGGCTGCACAGAGCTGTGTCTAAGACCAGCACCAGCTATTTCCAGCTCTAATTAGCAAAACCTAAAAAGCCCATAATTAAGTGCAGTGCCCTGTGAAGGACTGAGCTCCCGGATGCCCGGGATTTATCAGGGCTAAAGACAATTTCTGCCCTGAAGAGGAATACCGACAGCGCTGCACCAGTCAGGGTGCTGCGGAGGAAGGAGGTTTGTGTTCCTGCTGCTCAGGGAGCTGCTGTGTCTCAGCTTGACCAAAATCTGCAGGAAAGGCAGCGAGGCGGCAGGGCTCTGTTTATACCCTGCCAGGCAGAAGCCCTCTCCCACCCCTTAGATGTCGGCGGGTATAAACACACCAACAAACAGCCAAGTGCTACCGCACATCGGGAAACCGAAACAACCTTTGAAGTTGAAGGCGGCTGCCCCAGGGCCGAGAAAACACTCGGAGCTAATCCAGAAGCGACACGCGTTACTGCAGAGCCGGAGATATTGGGATAGAAAAGGAGCCGGGCACTCGCGGCTTCAACCAAAGTGATTCTGACGTGAAAATTAATGCACCCTGACGGGTCGGAAGGCACCCTATCACCCGGTGATGGGAGGGTGGCTGGAAAAAGGACACGGGATGGCTGTGGAGGGGCTGCCGTGGCACTGCTGCTGCTCGGCCTGGCGAGCGATGTGGATCGTGGGCCCCCGGCTGGTGTTTGCTGCCAGGCTGCCATGAGCAAAACTCACTCGACTGGACTCTCGGAGGCTTTTATCCGACTGTCATCCCAGCTAATTACAGAGAGAGTGATTGCAGCTCCTCCTCCCGAAGTGCTCGGTGAGAACAAAGCCCTGTTTCTGCCCAGCTCCTGCCTGACGGCTCGCGGAGGAAAAGCTGCTTCCCGCGCGTGACCATCCCGGCTTGGCAGCACGAACATCCCCGGCACAAACATCCCTGGCACGAGCATCCCCAGCACACAGCCCCTGGTGCCTCCCGCACGGGGTCAATGCTGCTGCTTCTGCACCCACCCTCACCGACGTGCTGAGCCTCGGCTGAGGATTGGGCACTTCAGGAGTGGTTTTGGGGCTCTTTCCGTAAATTCTGGGCAGGCAAAAGGTTGAGCAAAGGCTCAATTACAGACACACGCGCTTCGAGGAGCTCTCCGCTCCGTCGGGCCGTTTGTTGCTTTACCATATCTGCCCTATTAGTCACTAATGAACGTGTCTGACGAGGTTGCTTGAGGATGCCAAGCCCCGCAGACGCTGGAGCAGCTCTCAGCAACCCAAACTCCCTCCGCCACCAACCACCAACAAACCCTCTGTGCAAACCAGGTTTCTTTCCCTCCGCGCACCCAGGGCTGCCCTCAACAGCATCCCACCCCAAGAGCGGACCCTGCGTTTGGCAAACAGGCTCCTTTCTCCTTTCTCACCCCCAACTACTTCTTTCATGTTATAGCACAGTCACCCCAGTACTTGTTTTTCCTGAGGATGAATCACATCATATGAGGAGTTAAATCATCGCCCGAGAGTAGCAGATTTAGCACAGAAGGCAAAATGTAATCTCTTTGAAGCCAAACTCTGTATCAAAGGCCTCAGCCTCTGTTTCCTTGTGGTTAAATATCTGGAACATGAAATTCATAAACAAAACAGAAAGCTAAAATTCACTTTGTGTTTTAATATGCTTCGCCTCTCCCATTCTGCAGCATGTTATTGTACCTGGAGGTCTCTGCTGGGCTTTGCTGGGGTTTTATCAGCCGGCACCAGAGGGGATCTGGCCACGTGCCCCTGTCATCGCCCTCCCCACACTCTCCCCCTCTCCTGGCCACCCCAACCTGCCGTCGGCAGCCACCAGCGTCCCCGTGAGCCTCTGCAAGGTCCCTGCATCACCGACTGGGATTAAAAATTAACCTGAGGAGTGACAATGCCCACACGGCACCGCCAGCCAGACCTGCTCCCTCAGTGTGCTCACCATCACGGTGACAAAAGCCAGTGGCAATGACTACGGAGCACATACCCGTGTATGTTTAACTCGTGTCCCTGGGGCAGGTTTCGCAACAGGCTCTGATTTGCAGGATGCTTCCCAGGGCTGGCCCGTGCAGGGGGAACTTTTTGAGAGTGCTCCAGCTCACAGTCCCTCCTTCCCCATCCTCTCTGGGGCAACGGGTGCCACTGAGCTGGCTGTGCTGTGGGTACCGGGGTCGTTCACCAGGGCAGGTCTCTGCCATGATGTATTTTTCCCCTGTGTGTCAGACCCCCAGGAGCATCCCGGTGGATGGAGCATCCCATTAGATTGTGGCATGCTCAGGGAAAGCACCATTTGTGCTGAAAACCCCAGGGAGGGAGAAAATTACCTCCTAGTCAAAAAGAGAGGCTTTTCTTGTGATTAGAATAGGTGGGTAGGAAGCTCTCCCTGGGTTTCCTAATCCTCACCAGCAGCTAGATGTGAGGCAGGAGACGGTTTTGAATTGGGCAGGTTGTAACCCTGCTCCAGGGATGCCCCAGCTGGGATAAAGCCTTTAGCCTCTCCACGGATCTGCTCCCCATCTCTAAAGCAGAGCTAAATCCTCCTCCCCATCACACAGCAGGCAGGAGGGATGAAGCCGGTTCGCTCAGTAAACCATCCCCCGTACGGAGCGGGCGGCGGGCTGCGCGGGGCCCAGCCCTCCACACTCACCATCCCATCGACGGCGTGATCTGTCCGACTCCACCGGGAGGGAGCGGGTAGAAACCGGGGATGTCTGAGGTCTGGGAAGGACGATGCACTCCTGGGAGAAGGGAGAAGGAGATGAGTTGGACCCAGCACCGCGCTCCCTGCCTGACCCAGATCGCTCCCGACCTCCTGGCTCCTCCATCTACAGGCACTTGTGGGCAGCAGGGGATACAGGTGAAACGGCCGTCGTGGCAGGATATTCTAATTGCCCTGATATTATAATTGCCCTTTTTGTGGATCTCTCTGTGGGGATGCAGTGGGTTGTCCAGGTTGCTGCAGAATCACAAACACTCATGTAACGGGCTGGGGAAGGCAGCTTGCTCCTGCACCAGCATCGTCCCAGCTCTGTGTCACCCTGAGGCCAAGCAGCAACTTGCTTTGGTAAGGATTTGCTGGACTCTGGACGTCCCTTTGCCCTTCCCAGGGAGCCTGTTCAGGTGCACAACTGATAGCCAAAGCTGCTCCTACACCCCCTTCCCAGCAGCCATCCCCGGGACCCCCCACGAGCGGCCAGCAGGGATGCTCCAGCAGGCATCACTTCTATCTCCATTGCAAGCAATTTGAGTCCCCGTTCAAAGCAACCGTTCCGCGGGCTCTGCGGGTGCCAAGGAACAGCAGAGGTGGGTATGGTGCCAGCTGGGAATTCACCCTTCGCACGGGGAATCCCTGTGTGATCTTCAAAGCCACTGGCACGGGCAGCATGGCCAGAGGAGACAGCCGCAGCATCTAGCCGTTTCTATCTGGACTTAAAACCAGCCCGTGGAGCCCCGGGCTGCGGGTGGGACTCAGACAACTGTGGAGCTGCTGGCAAAAGCAGCCTCCAGCTGACCCCCCAGACTGGAAAACTGGAGGGGAGCTGGGGCTGAGCTCTGCCGCAGCATCATGTAACACTGACTGCTAACGAGCCTCAAAGAACCTTGTGCAGAGACTGTCCAGCAGCTGTCCTGGGCAATAAATCGGTGATAAATTGCAAACAGTTTCCAAATTCAGAAGTCTGGATTATTCTCCTAGGTGTATTCATGATAAACTATTAGTTAGGAATGACTCCAGCAGATTACAAGCACCTCATTAGGAGTTAGCTAAAATAAATCTGTAACTGAACTGAAAGGAATATATAACTGAGTATGAGATTTACCTACAAGTGGGATGCAGCAGCCCACTGCAGGTCAATCAAAACCAGCATCCGCGTTAGGTGGCTGCCAGGATTTCCTGAGATTTGGACCTCCAACAATACAAGTTGCGCAAGCCAGAGCACAAGTTATTCTCGCTGGCCCAGTGGTTGGGGCACCAGCCACTGACTCAGAAGATCCTGCTTGTATTTCCTTGTCTGCGTGTCCTTGGGCTACTGCGAAATACTTTAAAGGGATGCTGTGAGAATGAGTACGATGGTGACTCTCAAGCGTTTACGCTAGGTGATAATGGGAGATATTTCAGTGATGCAAACAGAGATGGGATGCATCCACAATGAACGGGGAAGGAAACCCCACCCCAGCAGCACAGGGATGGGGCGTGCAAAGCAACACAGAGGCAGGTCCCAGCTGAGGGTGATGGTCTGAACCTCTCCACAGACAGGACCTGGGGTGGGGGGTGTGTGTCTCCCTGCCTCCGATGTAAATATACAGGCTGAATGGGAAAGGGGAGACTGGAAAGTGCCTACACTGAGTGTGCCCTAGGCGGGTGTGCAGCCAGCTCCCCAGAATTAGTGACCCACGGCAGAGATTAAATCTTAGGGACTACTCCAGTGGCAGTGGTACCCTCTGTGGAGGGCTGTAACCAGCTCATCCCTTGGGTGAGCTGCTCCCGTATTGCTTAAGGCTTTCCAGGCTAACTTGAGTTGCTGGAGGCAGCTCACAGCGAGGGGCTTTTGAGCTCTGCCAGGCCTCTGCAAAGGCAGTGTGAAGGAAGGTGTGTCAGGTCGCCTTCCCAGGAGACAAAAATCTGCATGCTTCCTCCTGAGATTCGGAAGTCTGCCATTAGCTGAGCTTTTAATAGGTTTATTTTGTTAACTCTTCATATTCTTCTGCTGACTTTATTATGCTCTGGTGGTTGACAAGCAATGTGCTGGCTGGAAGAAAACCAGGATGTCCCTGGGTATCTCTTACACCAGACCTAAATCCTGACCATCAGCATCCCCGGCGAGTCCAGAACGTGGCCTCCGGGTTCAGCTCAGGGATAATTCAGCACGTCCTCCACCCAAGAGCATCCTCGACACCCCATCACTTTAGCAGTGACGTTAACTTGGAGAAGACGATGTCCCTGGGACAGTTTGGACAACTCTTGGCTGGAGGTCTTTGCCCAAATCACAACAGTTGGTTTCATGCCTCTGTTTTCACACTGATTTCTGGACGAACCCCAAATCCCTTCCTGCATGTAGTTTGACACAGAACTGTGAATTTGCTTGATTTCACATGAAATCAAGATCAGGTTTGTGCAAAAACCTGGGTAATCTGAACAGATACTGACAGGTTCTGTTGCACTAATGTAAGGTTGAGACAAGTCTGATACTGAGACAAGTCTGATGTTACACTCAGCTTGCCAGTAACCCACGAAGAATGATGGGCTGGGGTGAATTCCTGTGCACATACCTATATTTTACAGTTCAGGGTTTAACCTCTCCCTACTGTACTTTCCTCCACAGCCTCACGAGTTAATTGACGTGTCCTGGACTCACCCAGGAACCCAAAGAGCCAAACGGTGTGACAACCACATAACTTGTGGCTGCGGACACACACATATAACAATCCAGTTAGCTATCAGACACCCATCCTATTTAGTCAAAATATTTCCTGTTTTATTTTCTCAAAATGACAACCTGACAACAGTTTGGGTATGAGTCAAAGGAAAGATTACTTTCCATTTTCTGGTTGACTCTTATGCATCACCTCGCAGGCTCTGGTCTGGTCTCAAGCGACAGGACAGCTTGCACAGAGAATTGAGCACACTTGATCAGCAGGGTTGGCACTTTTGATATCAAACGTGTCTTGACCAGGATTACAAAGCACTGTCAACAAGCTAAATCAACTTTTACTGCTAAGCAACGCCCCAGTTGACCAAAGCTCTTCACTTTTCCCATTGATTTGGGACCAGGAAGGTGACAGCCTTGATCTCAGTGGTCTCCAGCTCTGTCCCCCTCCCATCACGCAAATCCCCAGCGGTGCCATTACCTTGTTTCTGGTTGATGTCAGCGGGCAAGTGGGGCGAGTGGGAGCCGTGGCTGAAATGGTCGTTGCTGTAAGGGATGAGCGGGGTGAGCGGGTGGACTCCGTGGGACGGCTGCACAACGGGAACTTTGTTGGACTGCAAAACACAAGGAGGGAGAGGGGTCAGAAGTTGTCAAGCTCCATGAGCAAGGAGGACTGATGCCCTTTGCAGTTCTGTCATTGCAGGCAAGGCTGGGAATTACTAAAAGTCCCCAGTGACTCTCAAGGACAAGGCAGAAAATGCCCTTGCCTACTTAAATAAACACTACAGCATCCTGCAAGAAAATAAACCAAGCAGTGACAATAGCTGAAGACGACTGCATGGGTAGGTGGAAAACAGCTCAAATCAGGATGAAATTCTCAAAATTCAGAACCTTTTTTCATTCATTTCCAGCAATTTTTTATTCCAGGATGAATGCTACGAGCATGTTACCCAGTGTATCGCTCTTGTTTTCTGCCAGTACAGGGTCTAAATCTGGACTTTCACATCCTGCACATTCACTCTGAAAGTCACGCTTGGGCTTTCCTAACTGGGGCTCTCGGGCAGGGAGAGCCACGCTGAGGGCAACGCCTTTCAAAACATGGCATGGCCCACCAGCGAGCCCTCGGGCTGAAATCCCCCTCAGTCCCAGCCCCAGCGCCGGGAGAAGGACTGCAGGGAGCTGAGACAGCACTGGGGATGGAATAAACTCAGGAAAATTTCAAAAATAAAGAAAAATCCAATCTCCTCTTGCAGCTACTCCTGGTTATACACGGTGAGGCCATCGGAGCCCGACATCTCTGTAAAAGGCACTTTTTTGTGAGCACAGCGGAGAGTACTTCTGCATGTTGGAGCAGAGAGAGGGGAACCTGTTCAAAAGAGCTGTAAGGAAAACACACACTCACACACACACTCACACGCCGCCGTCTGCTGCCAGCCTCCTCGCCTCGAGCGTCTCGGGCTGCTCCCTACATGCCTGGTTTCGCCCATGGTTGCCTCTAAACCCAAACTGACTTCGCCTTGGTGGTGGAATGTTAGGATTTGTCCCAGATAAAACCAGAAAGAGAAACAGGACTGACAGCACCCCAAAATGGGGAGAACGGACCAGGTAAGACAGCTCTCCAGGGGCGAGGAGCTGGGTATGGCTGACCAGACCTCTTGTGTCCCACCAGGACATCGACAGACGATTTGTTGTGTGACTTTTGACAAGTCATTTACAATCTCTGGACTTGATTCACTGGTGACTTTCACTATGGTAATGATTTTGCTGGGGCAGAGTGAGCACGAAACGCCAGCTGGCTTTGGCGGAGGTGGCGCAGCCGGAGCCGATGGCTCTGGAGGATCTGTCCTGGACCCCTCCCTGCTGCGCCGAGCTGCTTGCAAAGCAGCCTGAGATCCCCGGGCAAGTCCTGTGTTTTGCATTGCTGCTCCGAGGAGGAAACCCATGGAGCGGAAAGGAAAACAGACCGATGGAGACGCCGCTTTACATCTGTCTTTCCCACAAAGGTTTGCTTATGCAAATAAAATCCAAGAGGCATGAAGGTTTGCATTTTAGAATGAATGAAAACCCTAAATCCTGATGCTTACCAGGGTAGATTTACTGCATACAGCAGGATATTGGGAATGTAACCCCCCTTCAAACTGTACCCAACTGGTGTGGTACAGGCATTCCTGTCCTGCAGCAGGGCCAGGGGCTATGTGGTTTTCCCATCGAGAGCAGCGGTGGGCTGGCTCCTGCTTAGTTAAACACATGTTTGGAGCTCTGAGCTTTTACTATTCTTGCCCATGAAATGAGATGAGGAATAGCTTTTCAGTGATACTTCTAAAATTAGCTATGGTTTAGCTTATTTAAGAGCCAGAAAGCCTAAATTAAGGATATGCAGTTCTACATGTACATTTTAACATGACACTGGAGCAGGATGAGCTCGATGCTGAGCTGTTTTGAAAGCCTCAACTTAAGCATTTCTGCTGTTCGAAGTGGGGCAGGTCTTCCCTTCCCATTTGCACCGTGCCTGATCCAAAGCACAGCACCACCACCAGCCAGCCTCGCCGCCTGACGACGGTTAACAGCTTTCCGAGCGATGACAGACGACACAGACCACTACAAAGGCAGTTGAACGGTCCTGATGCCGATCCACAGGATACCTCAACACTGAAAAGCACAGAGCACGTGCGGTTACAGCAAAGGCACAGACCATCCTTCTTCCCCATCAAAGCAGAACGTGGTGACTTGGTGGTACAATAGATCGCAGCTCAGTTACTCAGATTTTCCATCAGTTCAGATGGGAAACATGATGTTGCATCAGTAGGAAGTGCTGGCCTTCTCCATCTCCCTTCTACATTTGCACTTGCCTCACTCAGAAACTTTTCTCCAACTCTTTAAAGTGGTGGGGAAGGATGCTCGGGAAGGAGGTAAGACAGAAATTTTTGCAAGAGGTTATTCATCCCCCTCCTGCTTCCACCATTAGGAAGTTTGTTACAGGAACCCATCCCCCAAACTCAACCAACCAAGGGAAGAAGGAAGTTGCACAAAGATCTGGGAAAACAGAGAAGACTCCTTCAGCGTTGATCCCTGGTTTAAACACCACAACCACTGACAGACATGATCCACCGACGTGTCTGCAGGTCCTGGTCTTCACCAGATGCGCTGTGGCTGCCACACGCGTCTTTGCTGTGAGATCGTGCCTTGTTTACAGAAATCTGTATGCCAGAGAAATGGTGTAAATTCCTCCTTTTTAGAAAGTCTAGATTTAGTTCCTGCAGATCAGCTGCAGCACGTGAACCCTGAAGAGGCTTTTCAAAGACAGAGCTTACCAGGTGACAGTGTCTGACACTGTAAAATTAACCTGATGTCAATGCTTTCTGCTGAGTGGACTGATTTAACACGGGGGCAGTTGGTTTGGTGTCCCCTCAGCAGGTCCCCCGGGAGGAGGCAGGGTGGTGCTGGTCGGGACATCATGGGGAAGTGAAGCACCTTACTGTGTCTCCTCCCCAAAGCTGCTGTTTCAGTAGAGCTCAGAGCAGCGACGATGACGACGGAGCCACGGGCTGCCCACCAACGCAAAATAACCCAGCCGGTGCCCAGCCTCACAGCCCCAACCCCAAGTCACCCCAAGTCACCTCCTGTCCTCCAGCAGCCGCGGGGGGACACGAAAGGGCTCTGAGAACAGTTTTGTCTCACCTCTCCCAGCGCAGCCCTTTGAGGGCAGGTCGGGGAATGAGCTGTGCAGCCACGACCTCGCTACAGAAATGAAGAGGCGCATTTACAGCAACACCAGAACGGTATTTCCAGAGGGGATGGAGCAGCAGAATGGGTTTTGCAAGCCTCGAGGGCTATTTTCTCTCTCAAATTTGCTAAATTGCAACTCTCCTAAGTGCCCACCTCCCCGGTGAGTGATGCCCACTCGGGTCCCTGCATGTTTTGTGCCGGCAGCCGGTGCCGCTCGGCGCTAGGGCAGGCACCGAGGCCGCAGTGCATCACCACAGCCACATCAACCAGCCCCCACCAACCTCGCTGAAAATAATTTAAAAAAACAAAACAGCTGTGAGGGAAGAAGCTCCCATTTTGAAGCCAAGAAGTGGCTTTAATAACTAGAGGTAACTGGATGAGCAAAAAGAAAACGCAGTCTCATTAATTATTAAGAAAGATTAATTGTTGGCAAGGCAAAATTAGGAGACCTCACCGCTCACGCACGGGTGTCTGACAGCGACAGAAGCTCGAGGCTAGCTAGAAAACTCTCTTTTTGCTGAGCACACACAAACCCAGCAGGTCTTTCCCGTGAGGATTGCCCTCACGATCCCAGCTGCAATGTCATTTGGCTCTGAGGAGCCTGACCGGGCGCAGCATCCTTCACCTTTCCTCCCAGCCCACATCACATGTGCCCAGCAAGGGCTGCAGCGGCCATGGGCAGCCACTGGGTTGGACAAGCTGGTTGATTAGAACTATAAATGAGGGGTTTTTGTTAATACAAAATGTGGGGTTTTCATTAGAAAATGGTGAAAGATTATAATCAAACATTTTCTGGAAAGCACCTCGTGTTAGCAAGTATTTTGACTCATTTTTTTAAGACTGATCTATTTAGTTGTAGCGTGCTAAGAATGAGTAGTTTTACTTTGCTGGCTTGACAGAGGATTTCTTTTAAACTTTAAAGCTAATCTTAGCAAAATGTAGCACAGAAGGTCAAAAGTCACTGAGTGAAATGATCAAACAAAAAAAATTTCCATGGCTGGCAAAACTCTAAGGGTTTTTAGCTCTGTGAAAATATTAGAAAACATGGTAGAATTTTTTCTGCTTGGATCAGTTTAGGAAAAGAAACAAATAAAAAAAAAAAGTGAATGTTTTGTAACCTGTGAAAACTATTCCTTGGTACAACTGAAAGCAGCTGTTAAAATCACCAAGCTGCCTGTGTGGCTGCTGGGGATCCCGGCATCCCACCAGTGCTGGGCTCCACCGCTGCTTCTATGGATGGGAATTTAAAAAAATTAATTTTCTGGTAGGAGACAATTCCTAAGTAAAATAAAGCAGCTTATTTCTACTGCCTCTTCCAACACTTGGTGCCCAGTTTAATGAAAAACGTTTTGTGAAATTTCGTGATGGCTGCGCCCAGCACCCAGGATCGGTCCTCGCAGGGGGTGTTCGTACTCGACCTGCACCACGGCAAGTTAATACATTAAAGGAGAAGAGTAAACCTGCCTGCCACAATTCAGATTGCACCAACCAAATACAGGAGCTCATCTTACAAGGCTGATCTTAATCTGCCCTGTTGCACACAGGCACAAATCATCCCTCCTAGGAATAACCCCTTCTTGGGTTTGATGAGTGTATTTCAAGAGTTTTTACGTTTTCCCCCAGATTTGGACCAAAACCAATCGAAGTGAAAAGCTGGCTTTTTCATGGTTTGTTTTTAAGGCAAAGTCACATAGATGATGCTGTTTTGTAGGGAATAAACTTATTTTATGGATTTCCCATATGTTTGAAATAATAAAATGAATTTAAGAATTTGCTAGCACTTTATAAAAGTCAACCCCAAGATGTACCACGCCGTTAGCCCATGCTGAAGGCGCACTATCACCCTCCTGCAAAACCAGGGTATTGTACAGCGTCACCTGGCTCCTCA